GCCACAGAAGCCACGAAAGCCACCAAAGCCAAAAGCCACAAAAGCCACGAAAGCCACCAAAGCCAAAAGCCACACTAGCCACGGAAGCGACAAAAGGCACGGAAGCCACAAAAGCCACGAAAGCCAAAAGCCACGAGAAACCAAAAACAATGCCTTTAAACAAACAACAACAAATCCCACTTAGCTTGACACCACTTGTGTACCACCTTCAGACCAAGGGGTTCCTGGGTTCCTCGTGGGTCCCTTGACATCCACCGAAGCGTATGGTGTATTGATCTCATGGCAGCAACAGAACCACTCCAGTTCATTGAAAAGACCAAAGGAACCAATTCTGTGGTTTCTGAATGATTCTGCGGTGCTGGGTTGTCTTCTGTGCAATCCATTCCCCTCTTGGAGGAGGGCTAGGCTTGCAAGATCTTGCAAGAAAGGGACCAACTACATTAAGAGAACTGAGACTCAGGTGTTCGGCCAATTGTATAGTTGACCGAAGAAAGTAGGGTGCTACCCAAGTATTTGAGACAAACAAACGGCTGACCACTACCAGTAAGAGGTGGACCAGCCACGACTACACGTCACTGGAACTCGGTCCTGGATGGACAATCTGGGTTCAGCAACTATAAGTATCTGAATACTTGGATATCTGGGTTCAGATCTGGATTCTGGATACTTGGATCTGTTTAAAGCACCCGTCACTGTCCCCTACATCCACGCGGATCGGTACAGCGGTCTTTGGCAGCCTGCGTGCCGGCCGCCGGCCGCAGGTGTACGGTCCGAAACGCTCCGAAAGAGGCGCCTAGATCCAGAAGTCGTAAGGCTTCTCGGGCAGTCTCGCCTATAGCCGGTGTGTGAAAGACATCTATATGGCTGTGGGTCAAAAGCAGGATATAACCACCTTAGTTGACCTACCTGGGAGGTCAAGCTACATGGCGGACCTGCTCCAGGTTTTGACCCATCCCAAAAAAAGATGTTTGCAGTGAAACCCTCCAAAGTGACATCATATGCCATCATAGATATAACATTTTGATATTATACCACTGGCATGGGGCGTGAGAAAATGCAAATTGTATGTGAATTAGACCAGTCTACCGTCTACCCAGCCAGGGGAGATCGGGGGTCTCCCTACAAAAAAAAACACCAGTATGTCAACGCCATCAGCCAAGTTCTTGCTTGGTGCAAGGTGAGTCGGAGTCTGGCTTCCCGAGGGCGGCGGGGAGGAGCCGAAGTGGAAATAATCTGTTAGACATCCAGGAAAACTGATTCATAACCTCCTTTTGGAGGGCAAAACCTATTCATATATGGGGGGTGCAGTATAATCAGGGTATCTCAGGGTTCTACACTAGTCAACTCGTGAGGTTTTGTTCAGGTTGGCTCGTGTTTAACAATACTGGTAGCTTCTTGTTACTAGTAGTATCTAGTAGTAATGCCCTTGTTACTAGTAACAGCGATACACTTACTACTAGTAGCGATGCACTTGTTACTAGTAGCGATGCACTTGTTGCAAGTTCACTGAACTTGCTTTGATGTTCTAGAATTGTTTGAGACTGCATTATAGATTAAACCTTTGCCACAAAATCGTGCTTACCCGACGACAAAGCCTTGTGACCAACCTCCGAACCTCCGACCTATGGGTGCATTTCTGGAGACCCGTGATCAAAACAACCACAGGTTCAAGCATGCTTGACTAGAGCAATGAAGTACAGTAGAACTATGTATAGTAGTTATATAAATGAGTAGAACAAACAAATATTTACACTTATATTTATCAGTATTATCTACCGATGCAATAAGATCTTCATAACTGCGTCACAGCAAACGTTACATCAGTAACCCAACTTGAGCATCACCAAGGGAGATATCAACAAAACTAAAGTATGAAGCCAAACATCATACAATATCATACACCTCCACGCAATCTGAACATGGCAACCTGTGCAGATTTGCATCAGAAAATGGAAATCCGGGCATACAAATACCAAACCATTCCAGTCGACCGGCACCTGCCGACCGGGTACTCCCGGTCGAACGCAGCAAGCAGTTCAGCGCAAAGACCTCGCTTAAGTCACTGACCGTGGGATTTCGCGCGGTGCAAATGGTCACTGTCTGACCGATTTCAGATCCCAACACACCATATGCAGAATTAGGAATGGGATTCATTTGGATTCATGAATTCGTCACATTCAAGTCATTAAGATTTATGAGTCCTTAAATAGATTGAAACAGCCATGAATTAGGAGGATGTTCCCCGGAATCCATCTCATCCAGCCGAGAAGCCCCCGAATTGCCCGGTGTGAAAGCTGGGGCCGATGGAAGTCTTGATAGACCCAACATGGCCGCAAGTGAAGCCGAAGCCGCTATTTGTGAGGCTTCAAGTTCCGATGCTCTTTACACTATATAGGAATTGTAGTTGCTGCCGTTGCTTCAACATGAACATGGGATTTTGCCCAGTTTCTACCTCCAGATTGAACACAAATGTTGCTTGCTTCTCAAGAAGATATGCCACTTCCACCACATCAAGAAAATGGTTCACATTTCCCAATAGGGTGGAGGGACGTCGCTAATAGTAAAAAGGCAAACAGGTGGATCCTAGACAGTTCAGAGTTCATGCAAAAGAATACCTACCCTGGTGACCCATGACCCTCCAGTGCAACACTCAAAGTGTGACCCATGACCATAGTCATATGTCACCAGCAAAAACCTAATCTGGCCTATAGGCAGCAAAACCTTCTAGCTCTCTCTCTCTCTGTGCATCATCACCGATCCGACACGAATAACAAAGTCTTCGGACGCACGGGATGTTCATGACATGCTGACCTTTAACGAAGCCACGAAACCAGCAAATGAAGTTTATGAGTTTTTCATGATCAACCTTTATCTGCCATACAACCTTCCCAGTAGCAGCCTCCCGGCCTCCCGCCATAGGCTCAAGCATTCCGACAAACGCTGGCCGTGCAAATGCTCCCAGCAAGTGTCATGCAACTTCTGCAGCACCTGCAACATCGGCGTTTTGCGTGGTCCAGCGGATTGGGAGTAGATAGCACAAATGTCCAAGTTTGAAGGTTGAAAGGTTTATCTGGACCCCCAAAAGGGTGCTTCATGGACACCCCGAATCACCTCGGGGCTATCAATGGACACCATGCAAGAGGGAGTCCTGGTATGGAGCCCCGATCTAAAGGACATCTTAAAATTCTAGCCATCTGCTGTAAAAGCACTATTAAGGTTCAGGACTCTCCCCCCACAGCCCAGCGAGAAAACAAGGGTCACCACTGAGTCGTCGCGGTTCACCGCGCTCGGAGTGTGTCAACGAGTCAAAGTTCGAGCTGTCGAGCTTCGAAGGTCAAGCGAACCCTCCACGCTTGGTTTCCCCTCAATAGACACCCCTCTTCGTTGAGGTGGTGCGGAAAAGAATTCAATAGTGGAGGTGTGACTCTTGGCAAAGATGGGTTGACAGCATATTCCGGAGACGGACAGCTGACCGGTCCCTTGTAACTTCTGAGAGATACAGTATACACCAGCCCTAGGGATGCAAGTACCTTCTCAGAAGGCACTTGGACCCTCCAAACCTACATAACTTACATAACAGTGTCTCCAATAACCTTCTGACAAGGTACTTGGATCCCAAAACGGCAGTGTACCCTTATAATAAGAGTTCGGACAGCACCGGCACCCTCCGGGTGGGGCAGGAGCGCCAGCTAACAGAGTGATCGTTTTGATTTCTGCTGTGTGGTCAGCCTGAGTGGTGAAGGCTAAAACAATGGCTACATTGGAGTCTACATCAGTGATATTGGATGCGAGATACAAGAAAGCCATCAGTGAAATTGTCAGAACACAACTTCCATGAAATTGCTCAATAACCTAGGCAAGTGCAAACTGGACATGATATGTTTTTTCACTTCCATGAATTGCTCTGATTTGTCCTGAAGGCGATGTCCAGATGGCTTTCAGCCGGTGAGATTGTTCCTTGGTCTTGTGAACTACCTGCACAGATCTCCCACAGGTTGACTCGTGGTCTCCCAGGGTTTGGGGTATTTTGGAACAAAAACCATATGACCCATAAAGTCCATATATGCTGCATGTGTGTACTACTTGTACCCGAGATACACCTACATGCATTTCTCCAGGAAGGTATTTCTTATCTGGTTGGTTGTTTCATGTGGTTGCAGCAGGACTCTTTATGCTTCTATTGATTTTGACTTTTTCAGCTGAGCCAAAAGAAACACCCGCATGCATCAGGAGACAGCAGTCTACTCGGAGTCCCCACACCTGGCTTTATCTGCGAGACATGAAGGGGGGAGGCCATGTTGCTGCGATATCACAAATACTTTGTGCATTTTGCAGAAGCACCATGGGGATTGACCCCTGACACTACTCCAATATATAAATAATTGTGAACAAACGGCATACATGAAGTGTCTGGGGTATGGCTCAACAAGAGGGTACCCTCCAAATCCACTGGCTGACGGATCCACATGCATATGATCCATAGTGGTTTCAGAGAAGGCACAATCATTCCCCAAAAGGCCTAAAAGACAACTTTGGGTGCCAGTGCGATCTATTTTGAATCCGTTGTAAAACATATTGAGTGGCTATGGGCCATGGGCTTTCTTTTTAAGCCATGTCCTGTTGATCGCCCAGGTCTGGCACGAAAAAGACACCTGATTTGAGGCACTGGAGTAGTACGTTCCATGGCCAGTGACGAAGTGGTCCATCGACGGATTCTTCTTCACCAACAAAACACATGGCTTTTTGTACAATTCCAGTGGTTTCAGAGTAGATAGCACAAACCTCAAGATGTCCTTTACATGGTTGTTTATATAAACCACCTCTTGGGGTCTGTGCCATCTGCTCTCAATCCACTATAGACTAGAGATGCTGCTACCCCCCCAGCCCACAACGGGCCTCCGCTGCATCCTTTCGGGCGATGCCTTCGGATGGCTCCTCCTTCGAGCGAAAAGAGCTTTTCCGCTGCCGCCGAACACTGGTCGACCGGGGACCGGGGTCGACCGGAATGGCTTAGTCTCACGGGTTTTGGGGGGACCGGAGTCCAACAGGCAATGGCAGGTCGTAGCATCTCGTAGCTGTTCCTTGAGATCACCCATTCAAGTTAAGGTCTTTCAGTAACGGCTCAAAGCGGTCGTTCATCTCTGACATCGATCGACATAGCTCAATATCGTGCTTGTAGGAAGATGTATATAATGGAATTGTCCATGTTGACTGCTGTTTATGAACATACGCAACTTAAACAACATCCCTAGCACACTGCACATGAGTGCATGCTCTTCAGTCTGAGAGAAAGACCGGAATTCCCACATATCTCCACATAGGATCATCAAATAACAACACAAAAAACAGAAAATGCTGATTGTCACATTGCTGGTGGACAGAACCCAATAGTATTCCTGGTGCCGAGTCTGGCCATTCATGTTCGCCTCTGCAGTTGTGTGTGCGCAGGATTCTGAAGCAGACCTAGTTCATCACCAAAATATGGTCATTGACAGTTGCTCAAATACCGATCTCTTCGGGTCAGTGGACGTTTGTCGAAGGTCCCACGTTCCCCACGTTCCTTGGAATATCACCCGTGGACGATAGCTTATGAAGGTACCCTAAGGACCCACGTCTGAGCATTTACAGGCACCTTTACAGGCTTCTTCTTCGCGGTACAGTGAGGAACCAAAGTACCTGGACTGGACCCTCCCAAGTAATTAGCCTATACAGACAATGGGACATCGGACATGACCCTATTCACCAAATGCTTGTATCATCTTGTAGGTGCAGCTCCTTTAGTATAGCATCGTCGTCGGCCAGTCCGGCCCGAGCCAGTCCGTCCTCGAGAGCCAGTCCGAGCGCCTTCTTGGCGAGCTCCAAGGCCAGCTTCACCTCTGCAGCACCTGGCTGATCCAAGGCAGAACCACGCAAAGACGGAGCAGTTATGCAGTTCTTGGAAACATCCGGGCAGGACATCAAGAAAAGGGTGATTGTCATTTCACGTCGGGCAGGCCAATGGGATCGGTACTTCACAGTTAACCAAGACTTACCACTTTGTGCAGTGGATCATTTCTGGCTCCTGGCCGTACTACTAGTCGTTGAGTCGGATGCTGGTAGATCAACACAGAATCGTTGTGTGGGGGGGGGAGACCTGACCTGGTCGGCTGCCAAATGCAGCATGCCACAAGTAGCAGGCTGGGCAGGGTATGAGCTCAACGCACCGACTCTGAAGGAAGCCCCGTAGTGCAAAATGGCAACTTGAATGATGGTCTTAGAACAGGACTCTTGAGATTCCACTAAGAAACATACACATGTAAACAAAGTTTTATCACCTTGTGAGGGTTTCTCACTCACCTTAATATTGAACTTCCACACTCAACATCACCCCAACGTTTTCTCTATTTCTCGTTTCGCTCCGAAAACACTCATCACCCACACCCGGTGGGTCCACCCGAATCGGGTTCTCGCCAGAGTCGATTGCCAACGACTCGAAGTGCAGGCGCTGTGCGCTCTCCAAAAAAGTCAAGTATTTTGCTTCCAGTGAATTCAGGTGATGTTTCATTTGTCTGTCGCTCAGTTCACTCACCAATATCATCCAATATCATACATGGCTCCTGATTCGGTGCTTTTTTGGTCCATCTTCGCTCGCCTGCCAGCGTCCCAGCCCACTCTTGCTGCTGTTCCTGCGACATCACGGCGACATTCAGGTCCGGATGGGCGGTTCTTTGGAGCTGGAGGCCAACTTGGTTGAATCTCAATAGAAGACGGTTGTAGAGGCCAACCTTGGTAATCCCGTCCTCCTAATAATAAACACGGGCCCCCCCCCCCCTATTAAAAAGACCTCGGTCGCATTTTTTCTAATAGGGGGTCCCTGAAATCGGGGGGGGCCAAAATAGGGTCACCTGGAAACAGTTTCAAAACCAAAAAGTAATCCAGGAAAATTTTATATAAAATCCTTTATTAAACTCATATCAAAAATGCAAAAAACCGCCAGATCGAAGGGTCTTCCTTTTCCCCTACAAAAACCTTCATTAGAATAGTGATTCTTCAGTAGACTAACAGCTAAAGCTTTCGAAAGGTGATGTCGCTGTGCCATGCGGTGTTGCATGACCTGCAAGTGCGTTTGCGTGAGTCCGTGCCATTGAGGGAAGGAAAGCCTGCTGGTGTAAGCGCGGCGTGTCATGGTGGAGTTTTGGGGAACCTAATAAAAAAAACTACCACCAAAATCGACCATGTTGGTAGTTTAGTAGCGGTTTGAAAGGGCGGCAATTTAAAACCAAATATAAACCGAATTTAGGGGTTCGGACGTGGTGTTTTTTTAATTGGGGAGTGTTTATTAATAGGTACTCGGGATTAGAGGCCTACTCCCTACACAGTTTCCTCTACCAACCAGGAGCTTGGAGGCTTGATCTCCCTCTGAATGGACGCAGCGTCCATCAGAAATACCATCCGAACAGTGCGTTCCCCGCGCCGTCTCCTCCAAGCTTCGCATGATTTCGGCCGCCAAGCATAGAGTTGGCTTGCCAGGGCCCGTCATGGCTCTGCCAGCTCACGGGGCGTTTGGCTTCCAGGTGTTCTTTGCATATTATTCTGCGCCCCAGCACTTGTTGTCGCCATATGTCACCACAAAAACACCAGCCAGAGAATTGTCCTGGGACTTTGCCAGGTTCAGTAAATCCGTGGTTGGGGCGGGTGAATTGAGTTGATTCCTGAATCAGCAGTCTTTACTTTGACTCCCGGAAGGTTGTTGAGCTTGATACAAGAAGATATTGTCAAGGCCACCGTCACATGTTTGTTTGGATTTTACAATGATTTGTTATCGTTTTGATTCTTTCAAGAACACGGACTTGATGTATCTTGATGTGTCTTCGATTGCACCAAGATGAGACGAGAGAACATCCAAAGCACTTAAAGCCTCACCGCCTCACAGGAATGTTTATGATTTCAAGACTGGTGGAACCTGACTGGAACGTCCTGGAGTCTTTGAGGGATGACCCACGCATGGGATCACTCTGTATAGCCAAAACCTCATCCAGAACGACCATCAAAGTGGTTTCTCTATATCTCGGGTCTTCACCAAATCCCCTCAGGTCTTCGCCCAACATCCCAAGATCTCACCTTTGCGCGAAAAAAATAAAAACAAAAAAAAAAAAAACCTGAACAAAAACTCACTGCAGCGGACTTCGGAAACTGGAGGAGGCTGAGGCGATGCCGGCGATGCCCCCTGTGAAGCGTTCTTTTTCTGGGCGATGCCCCCGGGCATCCCTGGCAGAGGTTCGGGACGAGCTTCGCCGATCGCCTTCTTGACCTCCAAAACCTGAAACGCACCGGAGCGCCAAGAGCACGCCAAATGGAGGGATGCGCACGCGAGAGCACAGCAGGTTTCGGAGATTCGGAGATTCCAACTGATGGCAACCAGGCCGATGGTTGCGGATTGCAGACTTGAACTGAGACCGGCAAAGCTGCATTACCCCTTACCCTAAAAATCCGGGCCCTCAAACACACTGCATTTTGAGGGTCGGGACCCCTGCTATGGAGGGCCCGACCCCTGCAATGGAGGGCCCCAATTTTTTTAGGGCAGGGTAGGTTACGCATTACAGCTTTACAGCTATATAGTGCTTCCGCATGTGCAAGCAAACAGCAGGGGCGGCCTTTCGGTGACAAAGTTGCTGCTGCTTGGACTTGGAATCCTAATCACATCTAATCACACAAGCTCAACAAAAACGCGAATCAGTATGTTGAGTGAGATACTGCTCAATATATTACAAAAGCTCAAACATGTTCAGTAGAGTATGTTGACAACTCCGAAATCCAGGATTCTGGCATACTCGCAGTATCTCCCCTGCTGCCAAACAAAACGAAAGGAAGCAACGGAGACGGCACGGTCTTTGTCCCACCTGCCTCGGGAAACATTTACATTCACGACCAGCTATGACATTTAAGAACTGCAATGAAATGAAATGGGGGGACAACTATAAATCCAGTTTCATGGTTGTCTATTCTGGCATTTGGATTCTATAGTACCCTTTTTACATTCAGTCCTTGCTACTAGCTGCACCCAGGCATTCCGTTACCAAGCCACGGCCGATGTGCTCAAAGATTCCTGGCTGCTCAGCATACCGGCACCCAAGAGACAAACAAGGAACAAACACCGTGAACAAAAAACAACCACATGAACATGACGATGCAAGAAAACGTTCTTCGGAACGCCAAGTGAGATGAATCAGGCCAAACTTGTTGGTCTATTCCGTGAAGAACTCTTTGTTCAACAGCGGCGTGCTCGGAACCCCAACACTGTGGTCTCCATGAGGAACATTTGGCTTTGCCACAGCTCTAATTATTCTCAGTTTCCCAGGAGTACTTTGTGGGCATTGTAAACGGGGATCTTTTATGTTCTCTTCTTTTCACATCAGAGCTCACAAAGTAGCGAGTCGTATTTGTCCAAAGTAAAATGTCCAACAAATCGATTTGCATCACAAACCCAAAGACCAGAAAGCCGCATGCAAAGCTGGGCCATGGAACTCCCAAACATGTACAGGCTACTACAAGCACTAAACATAACTATAAAATAAATTCAGTGGATTGGTTCCGAATGAGAAAGTTACCCTGTAGTATTTGCTGGAGCCACACCCATGATCTCACTATTCCCTCAGCTTGAAAACATAATATTTAATATTTATATATTATGTGTTAATCAGTGTTTATACCTTGGGTATATCCCATTACCAGTAAGCGTATATAGATGATGATTGTTAGTAAACGCCTTTCTCTAAAATAGTGATGAGTGTTTACCAGCTGTTACAGGTAATGGGACAAACGGAATATGTAACAAAAAACATACCCTTGATTACGTGCTCGGGACGTAACCAGCTCGCCTATGAATGGGGCATTGTTGAACGGAATACCATCTCAATCTGAAACCAACAGCATCCAATATTATCATATATAGTATTGTAATATATAGTTATATAAAACTGTTTAGGACCATCCCAAATGATTTTTGAAGCCTTTGCTCTTCGTCCATCATGTGTGTTTTTTTGCGTTTCATCCCTGCTTTTCGAACTCGTGCCCCGGCTCCTGCCTGCTCAATGGCCGATGCAATCGAGGTCAGCTTGTTCCTGGATGTAGGGCTCCGTTGTGTGCTCCGACGAGTGACCGGCGCAAGGCGATCGAGTGCGGAAAGCGTCTGAAGAGACCGTCCGACTGTCTGTTGTGCAGCACTGTGGACATCTACTGGCCTCCAACCTACTAGCGATGGCCTCCAAAGAGTCCTCAAGAGACCAAGTTGTTCATTATGGTCTGCTCATGCTTCACGAAGCCCGTCTTCCAAGCTGCTGGTCGGAATAGGAATGGACCGTCTTGATGGCTCACCTATGGTAAATGATCCAGTAAACGTGCTCATCTTACCAACGCAAATCTGTCGCAGCTGGTTCACACTCTTTGTTGCTTTCAGGTTCTGGTTCCCCCCAAACCCCTTATCCTCGAGGTCCAACACATGGATGCTAGTTTCCACTAAGGTATTTGTTGAGGCCATTCTACAGTACACACCCTGAACAAAAACGGCTGAGAAGTCTAATTAGTCTACCACTATCCACTATTGTCAACTTCAATGTCTGTTTAAGCCACATCTTGACCACACACATCCACACACACAGAGAAAACAAACAATCCTGCGTACAGTGTAGGAATGCAACCAGCCAACACCCATCCTGTCCGTACTGGTATACTTCAACCAAAGGCACTCCACGAGCTCCAAGACATAGATTGGCAGCCATCCGCTACTTCGGCACTTCTGCACGCGTTGAGACAATCTCGAAAATCGAAACCGTGGTCCGCATTTGGCTGCATTTCTCCACAGCTTTCATCCCTAAACCAAGCAGAAATCACGAAAGAAGTCAAATGAAGTCACTCGACGGAAACTTAGAGGAATCGATTTGGTATCAATAGAACTTTTGGTACATTTTGGTACCATATTTGATCTATTGGTGGTTCACTTGGGGGTAGTGTATCCCTTCTATACATCAACCAACCAATGGTAAATAGTAAAGGGCCCTCGGACTGGGCGTCACAACCTGGATCAATGTCAACCGGTGGCGCCTGGGTGGACTCCTCAGCTTCCAATCCCATCCAACACAACATGTTCACCGTGCGACCAAGTTTTGGTAACCCCGTGGTATACGTACCAGCAATAGTGGATGATGGTAGCAGGGCCTATCGCAAAAAAAAGGATACAGTGATTATGTCTTGGTGACTCCTTTGATGGAATGGAAAACCCTAGATATAGGTCCATTATAGTATAATATTAGAGAATTCAACAAACAAACAATTGAGGAAACGCGGAAAGCTGATGGGGCACTCTTGCTTCAACGCCATTAGCCCGGCAAATCTGCAAATCTGCCTGCATCCCACTTTCCCTCTCCTGCCATACTTCCTGCGGACGCCCATGCGCGAGTCTCCATGTTGTTGCGAGCGGGTCGATCAGGGTCCGGTAGATCCCGTGGCATAGAAACGCACATCCCAACCATCCACCGCTGCTGTCTAGAATCTAGAAAAAAACATAATACATGCGTGTTCTACTATTTTGAGACATGCTGACATACCTGTGTAGACGGTTTTATCATGCTTTATGTAGAGTAGTCAGACTGCGACTTGGTGTGATCAATGCAGGGTGTGAGCACAAATCGTGCCTGATTGTCCTTGCTCCAAGACACCTTGCTTGTGCTTCAATGCTTTAAGGGCTGACACCATGGCCAACTGCCAGAAAACACACCTCTGTAAGACTACAAACCCCTGCATTGTTCTACCAAATCCATGTCCCTGCCTTTGAGAACTTATAAACAGACACCAAACTCGCTTGAGAACTTTCCGACTTCGCTCCGGGACTGTCCAACTGTTCTCCTTCAGAGTGGTGGCATAGGCCCAGCCATTCCGCTCAGTGCGGACCTGCAGCAAATCTCCTGGGTTCGTGGAACCCGACTTCATCCGGTGGGCTCAAACAGTTGGGAACGTACTCCCAGAAACACACCAATAGCCAATAGCATCCAACAGCAACGAGTGTGATCAGTCCAGTGTGTATAGAATATATAATAATATCAAACATGGTCAAATAGAAGATCGATCAATCATAAGGCAACTGAACAAGGCATAAACACTAGCTGATTTATGGTGTCAGGTATGTATTAGTTTGACAAGTACTTCATTTTGAATACACTTCGAGTTCACCGATTTGGGGCAGGCCGGTGCGCTGCAGGATCTTGGTAAGATTCACGGTCACCTCGCCTGATTCGCTGGCGTCTGATCCCATCATTCTGGCGGCGTTCGGACCCCTAGATCCGTTTGGACCCCCGAGATCCATTCAAACACCCGAAATTGTGAGGATTTCCTATTCAATTGGGTGGCTATGAATCATGATATATATTATATCTCCTTCTCTTCCAGCATCTCTTCCGCCTGACCCGCACAGCATGGGGGGAATTGCCAGGGACCGGACGGATGCAGGTCATGGCACCGCACCGACCCGGATGTTCCGTTTGTCAAGGCGACGCCAACGTGGGAGGGAAGGGACGGTCGACCTCGCACCGACGGAAGGGACGACGGTCGACCTCGCACCGTCGGTCCTTGTTCCACCAGCAAGGTGGTCAGCTGCTCGGGGTTCTGGCGGCTTCGCAGGTGTCGAAGGAGGCGCAGGGTGGTGTTTCTCGACGCACGGGTGTCGAAGATTTCGGTCACTTCAAGGGAAGCGATGGTTGTGTTTGTGTGTGTGTGTGTCAGAGATGGTTGCAGGAGAACTTGTGCATGCTTGTAAAACCGCACTATGTTTGTCATGTCCACTCCAAACAACGAACAGCTCCCAAGCAAAACACGAAGCACTGAAACAAGGAGTTTGACATAGTTTGACACATGATTCACAATTATGTCCTGGCCTTGTTTGTCTCATTTTCTGGAAAAGGCCCTTTCAATGGGTCCTTTCATTGGCTGATGGAAGTGCTTGCTCCGCTGAAATGAGATGATCTCCCAGACACCCCGACATGGAACTGCCGGTAACTAGCAGTATGTGATTGGATGTGATTGGTGTTGTTCATAGAGTATCGCTTCACTACAGGTGGTTGCCCATGAGAAACAGCAAGAACCTTGGAATTCGTGTTTGGCAGATTGTTTGAAGCTACCGACGATGGCCTAGTCTTCGAAAAACGAGGTGTGGTTGGTTGACGAATCAAAACACCCGAGGATACCTGAGGCCTGGAGATGTGATCCAATCCAATCCAGCAAAAAGGAAGAGTTTTGTATGGTTTTGCTCATTGGTCAACATGATGAAGAAAAACACATCCAAGGCAAACAAATGCAAACAACAATTATTTCTGGAGGCACAGGTGCCCTATGGTGCCCTCAGCCGTCCTGTGTCACCGCTGGATGTCCTCTTGACCGACATCCACTTCGACTCCGACTCCCTCGACGAGGGATGCGCCTCAGGGCCCCAAAACTCCTTGGCACGTGCCAACAACGTGCGCTTGAGCACCTCGTTCACCGGGAGCCTCGAGGGCACGAGGTTGGAAAGCTGCTCTGCCATGACTCAAGACCCGAAGCAAATGGCGGATCGGGTTGGGGCACCCCGGAAGAGGCATGCAAATGACAGAATGGTCTTCACCTGGACATGTTCAGCTACAGCTACAGCATGAGGGGGTTGGTGATGTTTGGTGTCTAGTCCTAAACAACTAGTCCAGTATAGTATGGCCAAATCGATACAAGTGATCGAGCTTTACGGTTTACGACTTAAAACTTGCAAGCGTTGTGTACCTCCGAGTCACGAGTCGCGAGTCACCCGTCCACGGGGAATTTCGAGCGAGGACATGTCCGTCCAGAACGACAAGAACATGGAATGAACAAGGACTTGCAAGCAAAGATTCCTGGAAGTTCCAAATGTCACAGAGCAGGTTTTGACAACTGTCAGAAGGTGTCCGAAAAGAAGTTCGAGAATCTGACATTCACTGGACCTGCCAGCTGCTCTTGAAAGAAGCTTCAAACATCTGTCTGTTGGACATGTATAATATATATATATAATTGTATATATATATATTTGTCTGAGCACAGCCTCCGTGACTGTTGTTGTGGTCAAAAGCACTCTATAGTAGAACGTTGTACACAACAAGCAGGTTCGCAGGAAATTGTAAGATGGAACCCCACCACTTGCTCTGTCACCAGGAGCTGTATAGACCAACAGGATGGGCTAAAAGTAGGAGCCAAGGCTGTCGAACCCGTGTGTGCGATGGCCGTTGTTCAAAACCAACACGACCTGGGTCGACCTCTAGCATGACCGGACCCACAAAGGATGATTACTACTCATCTGCGCTGTCACACCCAAGACCTGTTACAGTGGTTCCAGAGTAGATGGCACAACCGGCCCCCAAAATGTCCTTCATATTCATAATAACTATAAAAACAAGTATAATATATATATATAGGGGTACCACCATTGGGGGATTGTGCGATCTACTCTGAAACCACCGTAATTGCTTGAAAGAAGTCCTGCATCATTTGTTGTGTGGCAAAACACCACATGTATACAATTTGGGTATATCCCATGACCAGTGACAGTGAATGATGATGGTCAGTAAAGGCCTTTCTCAAACATGGTGATCATTGATGATCATTGTGTACTGTTGCTGTTACAGGTTATAAGGACACACCTAACAAACAGTTCACTACGACGTCAAACGCTCGCAGGCTTTCCTTGAAAAATCACGTCCGCCGGACGAAGCCGTGGATCCGTCGTGATGGGCGCCTGTATCTGCCAGGCACGTGCGTGCGCTGAGGCCCAGAAAGCTCCTGCACCTCGTCTTTCCGGAGCCATCCTCCGGAATCAACGGCGACCAAACGAACCACCTGAAGGCGATGATGTTTCTTCGACAAAATGGATGTTCATTCTGTTCATTGCTACCCGAGAAATCCTGGGTTCTGAAGGTCCGGGAAGACGTGACTTTTCCAGAGGTGCTTTTCCAGTTCATAAGCGCATAGGACCTGATTCAGTGGTACTTCTGGGGCCTCATCATCCTTGGTGCAGTACCTACCAACCTCGCGGACCTCGCGCGCGAGCGCGTCGCGGCTCCTTCCCAGTTGACCTTCTCGTCCCATGCCACGCAGTACCTGTGATCGCTCAGAGGAGTGTGTTTGAATCGTTTTTGGACGGTGCATGGTCAATTTCGGTAGGATTTGCATCTTGGCCCGGCAGCCTCGGCCACCCTTTGGAGCCCCAGCCCCATTCTTTCCGAAGGGGTGCCACTCAATTCTATGGCCTCCAAACACTTGGCGCGTTCTTGGTATTGCGGCAAGAGACTAATGATGAACGGAGGTGTGGCAATAATACATCTACTTTCGCAAGACTGATTCCCAAGGAAAGGACAAGCAGGCCCCGCGGTCCGACAAACTCCTGGTCACCAGTAAATCCACGACTAGTTGTACTTTTGCCAAGTTGTTATCCACGAATCCTGGATAGGTCACACCTCACACATGAATACAATTATGCATGTCATCCTCAAGTCAAAACAAACTTCACTGGTTACACTTCACTTGCGATAAAAACAAACAAACAACAAAACTGTGGAGATTCTGCTGTGCCCAGTGCCCCCCTTAGCTTTGACATGTACCGGACGCTTTCTTGTGCACATGGCCTGCAACGGAGCTTTGGAGCTCTACGTCTCTGCGGTGAAGTTTCACGGTCGCCAAACCCGCGCGCGGCCACGCCCGGGGGCGGGTACAGCTCCGCAGCGTCAGGGGTGCTGTTGACCAAGTTCAGGAAGGTTCCCTCCTGGAGATGTCGAACAACCCAGGCTGGGCCCACAGAACTAGATGGAGCCCAAGGCTCCAGGGTCCATGTTCTCAGGTAACTCGTGCTACACCTGGAGGCCAATGACCTGGAGGTGAAACAACTATCTCAGCAGCTTGAGGGGACACTCTTCTTTGGTTTTGGGAGCTTCTAGTTAGTTCATACCTCTAGGGAGCTGTACTGAGGTGCCAGCTGTCACAATATAATAACTTGTAGAGTTGGAACCAACAAATGATGACGATGAATGATGATGATGCTGGATACTGGATGATTACAAAGGCTTCTTTGTTTCACAATGCTCGTGGTGCTCCCCCCCCAAAAAAAAACCGACCATAGAACATGATGTGAAGGGTGGACGTTCCGATTTCCGTGCCGAACGTTGTCACCTAGAACCCACGAAACCAACACTTATAAAAATAATCATGTAGACTGTTGATGGATAAACCCTTCCAATATGAAGCTGTTGGACTATCCCGCTATAGGGTGTGTGTCTCTTCTTTTCGGTCAACGCATGAACGGAAGGCCTCTTTTCGAACCTCCCAACAGCGTCTTCGGGCACATTTGGCCACATGAAAATACTAGGATGGGCACGGACGCAGCATGCGGAGCGGACAAATGATTGGAGCGCCATGGAATCGGATTCGACAAAAACTGTCCCCAGAGTCACAAGCATGACAGGTCAGCTGAGTGGCCTTGAGTGGCCTTGATGTCGGTGTCTGGTTCTGCCAAAAAACCTCGAAACTGCATGGAACCATCGAAACTGTGATACCTGGAACCTGAGCTTCTAATCACCAAACATGCAACATTTAGACCTTTGCTTCGTCGTGCGGTCGTGCGACGCAACGAAGTGCGGAACTTTACACTCCGTGAGCCCCGGTCGCGGTGGTCGTCGCGACAGGCTCTGCGGCTCTGCGGCTCCGCTGCGTCAGCGGGATCGCTGCAAGAAGCCCTTCTCTCAAGAGCAAGGATCTCCTGGGAGTAGAAGCAGGACGCAGGACACACCCGTATACAAACACGGCTGGGAAGAGCCAGGGGACGCGGAAGTGCTGATCTTTACGTTGGAAGCATCTGCATCTGCAGCCCTATTGGATTCTAGTTTGTTTGTCTATTTGTTGGTGCAGAAGTCCGTTGACTCCTTCATCCGTTAAGGTAAACAGTGCAAGACAAACGACAAACTACTAAGACCTGATTCAAATGGTCTTCAAATGACTTCAAATGTCAAAGCTCATTGAAGCTCCAATGGTCTTCAAAAACGTTGAACACTCATTGAACTTAAATGGTCTTCAACTGCCTTCAAAACTCATTGAAGCTTCAATGGTCTTCAAATGCCTTGAAAGCTCATTGAAGCTTCAACGGTCTCCAAATGCCTTCAAAGCTCATCGATCTTCGAATGCCTTCAAAGCTCATTGATATGCGAATGCCTTCACAGCTCATATGACTCATTGATCTTTGAGTGCCTTCAAAGCTCATTGAA